AAAAAAAAAATGAAAATAAAACTAAAAGTAAAGCAAAAGAAACAAAAATAAAAGGAAAATGGAATGAAAATAAAATGAAAACAATTTATCTATGGAATTTATCTGTTGGATGGGATCATCATCACATTTGCTTCAATTGAATTTGGTTTCTGAAAATTGCTCGGCATGCCTTCAACCGTGTTGTTGTTAGTTGGCCGCTGTTGCCGATACTGCCAATGTTACTTTCGGGTTTATTTGTCATCGTTCCTTTGTTTTACAACTTTTTTCTTTTTTTGCCTTCTCTTTTTTGTCTTAATTTTTAAACCTCTTAAGTTTAATCTAATTTTCTTTCAATTTATCTTTTGGCTACAAATTACTTTTCCTTAAGCTTCTTCCTTTGCCCATATCACTACTAGCATTACCTCTATTACTACTACTACTACTGCCGTAATTGATACTACTGATATTAGTGTTATCCTGCTTTTACTCCTATTAATTCCAAGAACCAGTTGTCTTTATTAATGTTCTTCCTCTTGTTTCATTTCTTTTTCGTTTTGTAAGCATCATTTTTTTTAGGGGAGAGGGGGATCGCCATCAATAGTGATGCTGGATTTTTCAACATAATTTCTCATGTTATTAGTAAGTTTTTGTTGTTAAAATTCATTATACATTATATATGTATTAAATAGAGGGCAGGTGAAGGAGAAAACAGTTTTTTTCTTTTGCTGTAACAGCTTTACAAAAAACCATTTCTGCATGTATTCGGTTTGATTTTATTTTATTTAATTCTTTCACCTTTTATCTTTGTTTTTTTTTTCGGCTTTTTTTCTATTTAAGAGGGCTTTACCTTTAATGAAACTATTATAGAACTACTGTTCATGTATCGAAGGCAAAAAAAAAAAAATTTGCCCAGGCAGAAAGATTTGAAAAAATGGGAGTTTACGGGGGCGGAGGATGGGAATTTGGGGAAATGAACAAAATCATTGCTAAAAATCTGTAGCAAATTTGAATTGCTAAAAAGTATAAAAGAAAAAAACCACACAACAACAACACCAACTAAAGCATCCTTCCAAAAAAAAAAAAAGTTGATTTGTTTGTTTCTCCTATTCCCCTCCTTTTTTAAGCTCCATCTTTCATTCTTTCTAGCTTTTTGAAAAAAAAAATTTATTAGTATTTTTGTTTTTGGGTTCTTTGATTGAAAAGTTTACAATTTCCTTTTTTTTTTCGTTGTTTTTATTTTCCCAACCGAAACATCGGCTGTATACCAATTGAGGAGCAGCTGACCAAATAAAGTCAATAAAACAATTTTAGACACTGCTACATCCGAATTAACTGGTTTGCCCAGTTAATAAGCTCGACGGAACAGCAGTTAGACCGGTAACGATATGTTGTTCTCTTTTCCGGTCAGAAATGCTGGTAATGAATCCAGTGGTCTTTATTATCCTTTCGTTTTTCTTTCCATTTTCTTTTAGGAGAGGGGTAGAAGGAAGCAGAAGGGAAATCTAAAATTGGGGGACCGAACACTTGTGACTGGTATCAGAAGGAGACATATCGGTACACCTAATGCGTAGACTAAACGATAATTCAACAAGACACCACTTAAAAAAATTAACTAAACTTGCTGTATGGCTTTTCCCCACTAATTTCTTCTTAGCCTTTTTGTTCATTTGTACAATTTTGTCCTTTCCCTATTGAAAATACAGCAAGAAAATAAATTTTCTCGAGCAAAAAAACCACAATTACTTTTAACATTAGTTTCGTATCTTTAACATTCAAAACCTATTAATAATTAAACTTTGTTACTAATCTTTTTTTTTCGCATTTACTACCTGCCATTATAAAATCACCAATTTTTTTATTTTTGATGTATTCATCTATTCTATTTTATTCTTTTTTTTTTAATATATTTGATGTAATACATAGATAAGAAGATAAGCAAATACTTGTGTTTCTTTTTTTCTTCTCGACATAAGTCTAACTCGAGACAAAGAGCAAGTGATTACTTCTCTCCTTCCTCTAAAACAGTATCCATTTCTGGAAGTTCCATCTGGTTTTCTTCTTGGACTTCTGTTCCCAGTGAAGATCATATTTCACGACCCATGAAAAATTATTACCAAAATAAAATAGTCATTCACCACCACTTCAAAGGCAACAAATGTCAGTACAAGGAAAGAGTGAAACTCAATCAACAGTTTACAGGACAAACAAAAATGTATATGTAACTTTGTTGTGTCAAATTTATTCAGTAACTTTGGTGGAAGTACAGGGAAAACGTAAAGCAAAAAATAATGTCGTTTGATACTAATCCTTTTTCAATTTTCATTTTTTCTTTTCTACTCAAAACTTTGGCCATGTCGCTTGTCCTTTACTTTTTTTTACAACATTACCTTCTACTATTAGACAAATAATATCCAATTAAGATAGAAATAAAAATAAGGGTCTAACAATGAGAGCCTGCCGCGAAAATTTTTCTATTAAACCAACATTTTACAAATCTTACTTTTCATAAACTTGTTTTTTCTTCCCGGATCATTTGCAAAACAGTAGTACTCAAAGTTTCAAAATATTTACTCTTTAAACCAACCAATAAATTTATGTTATCCGTTGGACGATGGCATCTTTGGTAGGCATATCTGCGATGGTGGTAATGGCACTGATAATGGTGATGGCGGTGGCAGTGGCGGTTGTGGTTGTTGCGATGATGGCGTAGACGGTGGAGGCCATTATATGCCTATTTTTATTTTTTTTTGCCCCCATAAATTGCCCATTATGATCATCAAAAAGAAAAATGTTGCTTTCCAATGATACTTACACATTTCCTTTATTCTTGCTGCTCTTTTTCACATTAAATATAATAATAACAATCATGACAATAACAATAAAAATAATAGTAATAAAATCACCAGAAATAATTAAGTTAATTTCGAAAATTTATTGTAGAATTAAACAATCTTTAATAAAAATAACCATACCGAACCATCATCACTGTCAGCGTTGTGGTCGTCGTCATTAACATCAGTTTACAATTATCAGTTCCAAAATATAGAATACCGCCCCTCACAGATGGTCTTAAACAGCAATCAACATTTAGCAGTCAGTAACAACAGCAAGAGCAGCAACAGCAACATCAAAAATAGCATTAATTATAGAACAGATAGAAAAAGAAAGAAATTCAGCTCAGTTCAAGCAGACTTTTAATCGAAAGCCTAATTGGTTCCATAATGCTATATAATTAACCTACTTTTCAAAACAAAGGTATCTATATAGTGTGACATTAAAAGAAACATTTTGAGCTTCTGCTAATCTCTCTTTATCCATTTCATCATTTTTTTTCTTCCTTATTCATTCTGTGCTGACAATGCACTGTTGAATTTCATCTATTAGCACAGAAATGGTGCCGCTTTTGACAACTATTATTATAGGAGCCTGCCTCGCAAAAACCTGCTACAACTGGAAGAGATTTTATCAAACGAACAGCAGCTCATTATCAGGTAATTCTCAGGACGTCCAAATTGTTTCTGTACACATAAAATGCATACAAAATACAAACGCTGGAGGTTAGCTGTTGTTTTAAAATCAGTAACAAAAAACTGAAATAATACTAAGAGAACTTCTTCAGTTTATCCTTTTTTTTTTTTTGTTTCATATGATTAATCAGTTGCTTACTGTGGGCTTTGTCATCAATTTTATCCCGTCAATTGATGCATTTAATAATATTAGAGAAAAAAAGAAAGCATTTTTTTTTTCGTTCCGTTCCAAAAAAAATACCAGGAATTCTAACCTTGCAGTTTTTTTCTTTTCTCTTTTCTTGCTCGTAGTGGTTTTAGCTGCATTTAGATTGCAAAATGCAT